CCTCCTTTTTTCCAAGGATTGCATGAAATCTCAACTTAAGCTTTTTGTATACTTCCTTGTCATCAAACTTGTCCACCAACTGAGACTGAGCAGAGATAAACATCATATGATTGATAGGAAAATGCAGCTCATTGAAGTCTGAATTCTCTATCTCATAACTTTTCTTAGGAATTCTTTTAAAATCATGCATATTCCTAAGTGAAACAATATGTTCAATTGTTTCGTAACATTATTGCTTAGTTGGATCTCCTTTCTCAAGACCTAGAGGATCACCTTTCCTTTGCCTCAAGATGTTGTTTATCTGTCTTTGTCTTTCAATTTATTTCTCTACATTCTTATTTTTCTCCTTCTCTAAAAACTCCTTCGCAATACCCTTTCCTCTATCACCTTTAGCTAGACTCTAAGGTCCCCAGAAGTGGAACCAATGACTACGCCTTTGGTCAATGGCTTCGAAGTTATTGTGGTTGGGGTTGTTGATATAGACTTAGGAAGCAAAGTATGAATTTGTATGCTTATTACCTTCCCAACCACCTTTCCTTGATCAGGATCTTTTAATGAACCAACACCCTTTTGTCCTCCTTGCACCCCTATTGTAATAAGTGGGGCATCTGTTGGCATCAAAATTCACAATCTTTAGAAGAGGAGCAAGTTCGGCTTTCAGATTGGACTCCAAAGAGGAAAACATTTGGGATAATAAATCCTAAGAAACAGAAGATTTTGGAGAAAAATTAAGATTCGAAATGGACTCCTTCAATCTGGCCATAAATTCTTCCATCTTGGTAAACACCTGCGAATCCTTGGTCGAGAATGTAGTGAAATTTTCAACAACCTTGTGGATGGCCTGAGTAACAACATCAAGTTTAGTATGAAGAGACAAATGACTATGTTCAAGCTTATTCACCTCCTTCGACATTTCAGACCTAAGGGACTCCACCTTTAAAGTTACATAATCTTGAACTTTCTTGACCTCTTCGACAAAAAGAATACGTCGTTCTTTGGCTACTTCACAAAGTTCTTTAACTTCATATTAAATATTATCAACATGACGCTTTAAATGCTCTTCATGTTTTCTTTTGATCGGTTCCATAACAACCTTCGATATATGCTCTTGAGATTTCAACAACACATCAACCTCAATCCCAGACACAGTATTATGACTCCTAGTATCAACCCGAATTTGTAATAAAGAATTCAGTTTGTGATTCAAGATTTTGAAATACTTGCCTGAAAGCAACATATGATCAGGCATGTTCTCCTCCTCTAGGTCGAACTAAATGTCTGCAAACGATATTATTACATCATCTTCATCTTGATCAACATTCGAAATTGATCTTTCACCTTCGGTTGATTGAGAGGGGAAAAGGGAAGTAATACGTTGATTCATGATATTGTTGTAAGTAGGTGAAATAGAGGAATCATGTAATGAAATGGGAGTGAGTGTATAAAGTGGAGGTAAGGAAGTAGAAGTATCGATGAGGGTAGTTTCGATTGGGGATGATAAGATAATAGAAATTGGAACCAATGAAGTTGCAATAGTAGCCTTACCTTGAGCTTCAAAAGTCGACATCCCATCACCCTTATTGACATTTGTGTCCATATTAGATATGCTCACAGGGATGCTTGAAGTTCGAACCTCCTCCGAAATGGATTCAGTCATCAAAACTTCAGGTGGCATGACAATGGTCTGCTAAGGGATGGAAATAGTTAAAGAATCACCCAAAGGAGTGGATGTGTTTGTATTAGATACTATCACAGAGCCATCTAGACTTCCAGTCGCCTCAAAAGTCAACTTGATAGGAGAGTCCCTCTGAGATGATGTGAAGCTAATATCTTCATTGCGAATATGAGATTGAGTACCATCATCTTTGAAATCAGTCTCTTGAACAACCTCATCCAGAGGATCTTCCAATTGCTTCTTCTGCTTCTTGATCTTGTTGACCATGGAATGTGCTCTTCATTTCTTCTAAGCGGGAGAAATAGGAGCAATAATTTCTCTAATAATAAGACCCCTTCGATTGAGTTGGGGTTTGCGAATCTTCGTGATCTTCGACACATAATCCTCCTTTGGTGAAGAAAGAGACTTCTCAGGAACTTTGTCAACAGTAGGTTGTTCTAGTGAATGACGGGGTCTGTGTGTTAGCTTCTTGATTCTTTTAAGAACTTGTTTTCTCTAAGGAGCCAATTCTTTTTGAACTTGTTAAACAACAGGGTCTTGAACAGGCTTCGTAACCTCCTTCTCAACTTCCTTAGGTAGTGATTTAGGTTTTGCAACCTTTGTGGACTTCATGGAGCCTTTACCACATTTTAATGTACCTTCAATTCCTTTGGGAAACAAAACCCATATTTTCACATCATGGTTGATTGTTGAAAGATAAGCAACAAGAACTGGGTCACACAGATCCACCTTTTGAAGAATGGCATCCAAAATTCGTGCAACTGAAAGAAAAACCGGTGACTCATGATTAACAGTCTTCGGATGTTGATATATTATGAATTCTTCTTTTGGAACATCAGATGGAACAAGAATTCCTTCCTTCACATACTTCTCTTGAAGAATCAAACTCTAGTATCTAGCACACGGAACATCATTTTCAACATTGTTGTCTGATATACCAGTTTCAAACTCCTCCCATAACTGAGAAACATAATCCACATTTAAATCATAATATAAGCCAACGATCAAGGCATAGATCTCCAACTCGGCTTTGTCAAGACCATCACTTCGACTTGTGAGACAATGAAGAAAAATTCCAAACAGAAAATTCCAGATGTCGGGTGAAGAACGCTTCTTGAACTGATTGATTCTGGTGAATGGGGTTTGATGACCCATCTCATTGAACATATGGATCACTTGGTCATTCGTCACTTCATAAAACGGACCAGTATTAGGAAATTTCATGATCTGTGCAATGTTTTTCTTCATGAGCTTGTACTTCTTCTCATCCATAAGCTGAAACATTACGATTTTGGAGGTTTTATTAAACACAACAGTAGATCCGACCAAAGATAACTAGTCATAGGCACTGAAAAAGAAGAAGTCATGACTATTGAACGCACCGAGTGATTAAGAGGAATGATCAACATTTGTAACTCTTCTGGGTAGCTAGAAACATAGGCACTAAAAAGTAGATTGTCTCATTTGAAATCTTAGGTATAAATGCATTTTTCTCCCCTCGACAATTGGATTTATATTTTGATGCCCCCTCTCGAAATCAGTAGTTGATCATCCATGATCCCCCTCGAAATCAACATTCGAATATCCATACTCCCCTTCAATAGTAGAGTTCAAGTTCTCCCCCTCCACTTGATCATTTTGCAACATCGGATAACTTTCGGCATGTATCAGAGAGTTTGTTGTAGAGTGTGAAACATTATCTTCCCGAGTTATAGTCAAATCATCATAATGTTTCGATGCTTCAGGAATTTGATTATCATTAGCATGAAGTTCAGCATCTAGTGCACTATCAGGAACACCAATAATTATGTCATAATCAAAATCGAAAGAATTAGTAATAATTGACTCATCATTTGTTTCTAAGAGGATTAATTTATGTTCAAAAGTCTTTTCGACATGCTTGACATGGTAATCATCGAAAGTTAGATTAAAAGTTACTTCAATCTTCCTTGTTTACTTGTTCAACACCCGATATGCAACTAAGTTATGAAAACATCCTAAAAATATTCCTTCTTCAGCTTCGGACTGAAATTTTGAATGGTTATCTTTAAGATTCATTATAAAGCATTTGCAACCAAAAACATGGAAAATTTTCACATTTGGTTTTCGATTGTTAATAATCTCATAGGGTGTAATATTAAAACGACGATGAATAAATGAACAGTTTTGAATGAAACTGCTTTTGCCCATAGATATTAAGGTAGAGTCGCATAGGTAACCATAGTCCTTGCTGCTTCGCAAAGAGAGACGTTTCTCCTTTCGAAAACACCATTTTGTTGACATCTGTAAGGAGATTAAAAAATTATGTGCAATCCTTAAATTAGACAAAAATGAATCAAGAACATGATTTTTGAATTGTGTGAATGTTGTACTATTATAAATGTCTAAGTTTATTATAATTTACGATCTATTACTTACTACGCAATTAGCTTACCTGTTGTTTAATTGTGTAGAAGGACCACACCATACGGATAAGGGGAAGAAAGTGGTTGAGTAGCTCTATTATGGTTTCGAAAATTTTATATATATATATATATATATATATATATATATATATATATATATATATATATCATAATGTATTGTTAAATTTTCTAACTCGGCTCGATCTTGAGAAACTTTTTTTGTTGGAACTTGATAACTACTTGTTAATATTGGGCTTAATGTACTACATACCCTCTTTTGTATGATTCCGAGAGTTAATCCTTTAGATTTGGAAGCTCCATCTGTGAAGAGGTCTTCTTCTGTATATTGAAGACTGAATTTCTTTTTCAACTTTAGGTTGAAGATCCGGACCAATACTACAAGAAAAAGTTGAAATAACTACGGAAGGTGACTATAAAACATCTTTCCATTGGAATTCTGCAATGGATCATGCTATAGAATGTTGTGTTGGATTAATGTCTAAGTCCATAACTATAATTGGTAAGACTTGACCCGATCCGGCATGGTCCATTTGGGTTGCATGGCATCATGCATTTGGATAGACTAAAATGAGAGAAATAACACTTAAGGTTTGTTAATATATTATAAGTTCTAATATATTAATAAGGTTATCTAATTAGTATTGATCAAGAATTAATTTGGAATTAATTAAGTGATCAAAAGGAGACTAATTAAATATATGGGTTGATTGTGTAAATCATTCATTCTTATATATGTGGGCTTGTGATCCAAGATTCCTTATGTTGGACTAAGTCCATGGGGTGACCCATGGATACTCCATGGAGGTTAAAATCCATGGAGCATAAGGAATGGGTAAAGTCATGAGTTACATGGTGTAACTCTAATAATCACCATATAAAAGAATCCCATGACTCAAGAAATCGTGCACTATGTGTGAGTGTGAGGGCTAGACGATTTCAAGGAGTTTTCAAGTTTCTCTCAAGTTATTCCAAGTGTATTTGGTGTTGTGTGAACCATTTGAGGTGTCACACTTAGGGCATTAGGCACTCAAGCTTCATGAAGACTTTCTACATCAAAGAGGTATGTAATTCTAACTTGATATATATTCATATGAATCATATTATTATGCTAGTTAGGATGAATACCTTGGAAAGTTCATATTTGTATGTATAATAGAGAAGACATAGATCCAAGGTATTTAGGGTTGCATGTACACTTAGGAGTGTTAGAATGTTCAAAACTCAACATGTTGTTCCATAGCTATTTTGTTACCACATTTTTTATGGAATGAATTTTCCGTAGAAAACATAAGAATTTTACGGAAATTGATACCAAATCGAAATCCGTTGGTATATTGCTACCAATAGTTCTATGGAAAAACATTCATAGCAAATTTGTTTTTTTTTTTTTTATAAAAATACATTCCGTTTTAATTTCGCTATTGAATTAAATATTGTGGTTAATCTGCAGTGGAATTTTCTAACATAATGAAATTTCGTAGTTACTTTGCTATGAAAGTAGAATTCATCACTATTTACCTATAGAATTGTGCTACGAAATTTTATTTTTGTTGTATGTTTGCTATGGAAAAAAGCCTTTGTTACGTTGTTAGTAATTTCATTATGAAATTAAATTTTATAAACAATTTGATAAGGAGTTCAAATTCATAACTACTTAGTTATGAAAATTTTCAACGAAAATAAAACTCATAGAAGTTTCACTATAGATCCAATATTTTTTGCATCTTTTCTTATGAATTTTGTTAGGAATTATTTGTAGTTATTTAGCATAAAATATTAGCTACGAAAATACATTTCATAGATGATTTGCTATGGAGTAAATGTCCATTGCTATTTTGTAAATATTTTTTCTACATAATTAAGTTCCTTAGCAATTTTGCTAGGGAATTATAATTTATAGCTATGTTGCTACTAAAATTTGCTACCAAAATCAATCTTGTAGCTGTTTTGCTATGGAGTAAATTAGCCGTTAATGTCTTGTTACGAATATTGTATATTGTTAAGGAATATAATTATGTTGGTATTTGACGGTTTCCATATGTTTTCGGTACATTTTTGTGCCTAGGGGTTGAGGATCGAAGAAACCATTTTCTTTTTTTCTTGATGCTTTCCGAATAAAACTCACTATTAAGGCAAGCCTCGTATCACTCAACCTTGAGCAGCACTAGATCTTTCAACATTTCTACAGTCAAAATTGAGTGTGTTGATTCTCATGGCAAATTTAATGTATGCGTTGGACATAGGCATCACTTAGAACCATCTTGCATAAATAAACAAATTTTTTGGGTTAATTGAAAATTAATAAGAAATTAATGCATTAAAAAATTAAAATATATAAAGAAAAGACTTGACTTGGAGGGTTTTAACTATGCCAAACATATGTTAACCAAACAAAAACCTAATCCATGATGCTCTCATAGATTAACAATAAAAAACAAAAAACAAAATCAATTTAATTAGTTAAAATATAAATTGTAATTTTAGATATATCTTACCTCAAAGCAAGATACTTAATTACATTTCACATATGAAAATGAACCTTAGAAGACAAGGTTTTATACATATAATAATAATGTGCTTTTAGTTTATTCACATAATATATAGAGTACGTGGGAGGTAGGATGAGTATGTCGGAGGTAGGATGTGCACGAGTTGGTTTGATTTGGTTTTGTGGTGAAACCGAACCCAAATCGAAAATTTTGAATTTTGGGTTTTAGAACCCATGGGGTTCAGTTTTCAAATAGGTTCGATTTCTAGGTTTTAGAACCCATGGTTTGATGGGTTTGGGTTTTAACCCATTTACTCAAGAATATTTATAGGATATAAAATGAAACAAATTTAGCAACTTATACTAAAGAAAGTAAGAAAACGAAATTCAACAACACAACATCAAAATTCAAAAGTATGTTGCTAAAAGATTGTAACCACCAAGTAACAACACAACATCAGTGTTTGGGTTCTTGTATCACTTCTACTTTTAGCTTCATGATCTTCATCAGCCATCTACATACCGAACATGTCAAATTGTCAATAATAGATTAATCATAACAATATAACTCAAATTAGAAAAAATATATCTTCTTCTATAAGTTAGAACACACAACAAGTAGCCATATAGCTACATCAGATCAGATTATTAAATTGCAATTACACTAATTTTGTAGCATGTAAGAGTATAAGTTTATACAAAACAATGAAAATAATAAGCTGTAAATGTGAATCAGAATCAACAATAATCTCATAATCAAAATTCTGCTACATGTAAACTCTTTATAGTTTAGACATCACAACAGTTAACTCTAACATAGATAAAATCTTTTAATAAAAGAATGAACCTAAAAACTTGTTATTCTTTTAAGCTTCAACCATAAACTTATTGTTTTCTTTTAAGCTTCAACCATAAAATTATTTTTTATAATAAAACATTAATGCAGGTAACTATCAGATGATTAGAATATGCTACAAATTAATATACCATCAAGTAACACTAAATTCAGGTATTCCTTCTTTCACTTTTGCACCAATTGCTTCCCTCAGAAAACTAAACTTAAAACAACTTACATGACCACATAATATGTATGATACATGTAAAAACTCGATTATACCCTTCACCTACTCAATGTTTCCTTACAAAAGATAACAACATTCAACTTTATTTGATCCTTACACTTCAACAGCTGCAAATTCTTATTCGGACTTAACCAAATCAATTAAACAGAAACCTAATTTCTAATTAAACCAACTATTTATATAGACATTACAACAAAAAGTTGGTCTGCTCTAAAGTATGACTTAGACAACAACTTCAAAATAGACTAGATCATCCTATAATCATATTTAGAACAT